ATAAAGAATTCAAGAAACTAGACATCAAAATAATGAACAATCCAATTTAAAAATGGGCTACAGAGCTAAATAGAGAATTCTCAACAGAAGAATCTCAAATGGCTGAAAGACAAGGAGTTGCTCAACATCCTTAGTCATCAGGGAAATGCAAATAAAAACAACTCTGAGATACCATCTTACACCTTTCAGAATGGCTAAGATCAAAAACACGGAAGACAGCTTATGTTGGAGAGGATGTGGAACAAGGGGAACACTCCTTCACTGTTGGTGGGAATACAAACTTGTATAGCCACTTTGGAAATCAGTATGGCGGTTTCTCAGTAAACTGGGCATCAATCTACCTCAACACCCAGCTATATCCCCACCACTCTTGGGCATATACCCAAGGAATGCTCAATCATACCACAAGGACACATGGTCCACTATATTCATAACAGCATTAATCGTAATAGCCAGAACCTGGAAACAACCTAAATGTCCCTCAACCGAAGAATGGATAAAGAAAATGTGGCATATACACACAATGGAGTACTACTCAGCAGTAAAAAAACAATGATATCATGAAATTTGCAGACAAATGGATGGAACTAGAAAATATCATCCTGAGTGAGGTAACTCAGACTCAGAAGGACAAACATGGTATGTACTCACTCATAAGTGGATACTAGATGTAAAGCAAAGGATAATCAGACTACAACCCACAGCTCCAGAGAAGCTAGGAAACAAGGAGGACCCTAAGAGGGATGTACAGATCACATTGGGAAGGGAAAACAACAGAAGAGATCTCCATGAGTAAACTGGGGATGGAGGAGCAATAGAGGGTAGAGGATGGGGAATGAGAACATGAGGGAATGGGATGGTCAAGCTGGAAGAGGAATGGAGTGGGAGAGCAATGAAAGAGATATCTTGATAGAAGGAGACATTATGGGGTAAGGGAGAAACCTGGTGCTAGGAATTCCCAGGAATCCACAAGGATGACCCCACATTAGACTACTAGCAACAACGGTGAGGGTGCCTGAACTAGCTTACCCTGGTAATCAGATTGCTGAATACCCTAACTGTCATCATAGAGCCTTTCTCCAGTAACTGATGGAAGCAGATGCAGGGATCCACAGCCAAGCACTGGGCCGAGCTCCAGGAGTCCAGTGGAAAAGATGGAAGAGAGATTATATGAGCAAGGACATAAAGATCATGATGGGGAAACCTACAGAGACAACCAAAGCAAACTAGTGGGAACTCATGGAGCCTCCATGGGACTGGACTAGGCCCTCTGCATAAGCGAGACAGTTGTGTAGCTTGATCTGCTTAAGGGGCCCCCTGGCAATAGGATCAGGATCCATCCCTGGTACAAGAGATGGCTTTTTGGAGCCCACTGCCTATGTTGGGACACCTCGCACAGCCTTGAGGCAGAGGGAGGGGCTTGGACCTGCCTTTACTGAATATACCAGGCTCTGCTGACTCCCCATGGGAGGTCTTACCTTCTTGTAGGAGGGAATGGGGGTTGGGCTGGGGGGGAAGTTTGGAGGGGTGGGAGGAGGGAAGAGGAGGATCTGTGATTGGTATGTAAAATGAACAGAAAATGTCTTAATGATAAAAAAGAATAAAGAAAATAATAAATCATCTTGCTTTGCCTGCTTAAAATAAATGTGACTAACATGGCTTGGAACCAAGGTCACATGTCTCATACCTAAAAAGGCTCCAACATAATTCTGCCAACACTGTGTTGTTCCCCCAAATACAGTGATTATTAAAGTTGGCAGTTATAATTGAGGTCCTACTTCAAGAACATTATGAAGGAATAGAACCCCACATTAAAGCAAAAGTAGAAACAAAGTATCAAGGCAGGAGGAACCTAGTCTGAGATACCCCAACTCCTAGGTTAGAGCTAAATGTGTCAAAGGCCTGAAATCATTATGGGTAAAGGAATAAAGGGCTCACTCTAGATAAAAATTTTATAGAGAATAAGCTTTTAAACAATAGCTAGAAAAAGAAAAAATTCAGAACTAAGACAAGCTATCAAGATACTGCAAAAAGTCAGAATTTACATCTGAAAAGAACATAAATATTTCAACCTAGATTGTAGCATAAGAAAATTTCAGATACTTAAAACAACAAAACAAAAAGAGAATAAGCCCCAAGAAGTTATACCAGGATTACAAAACAACATGCTAATATCTTAAAAATACAATTTGAAAACTTGGAAGAAAATACAATTATTGAAGATAAGATAAATAAACAAAATCTAACAGATTGTCTAAATAGTACATCTGAAAGGAATTTATAAACTAGAGGATGGAATTGATGAAGTATCACTGTGGGAAATATGAGAAGTAAAAAATGCAAAGGGGACACCAGGAGACAGAGAGGACAAATTAAATGAGGTAAAAAAATATACATGAAAGACACTTTTATAGCACTGGAAAGGCTGAGGCAGGAGGACTAGGAAGGCCAGTGTGATGTACATGGAATCTTTTTTTTTAATTTAATTTAATTTTATTTTATTTTACAATATAATTTAATTCTATATATCAGCCATGGATTTCCTTCTTCTCCCCCCTCCTGCCCCCTCCCCTTCCCCCCAGCCCACCCCCCCATTCCCATCTCCTCCAGGGCAAAGACTCCCCTGAGGATTGAGATCAACCTGGTAGACTCATGGAATCTTATCTCAAAATATAAATTGAGGGAAGGAAGGAGGGAGGGAGGGAGGGGGATGCAGTGTTTCTCAAGCTTTGGGTTGAGAACTCCACAAGGGTCACATATTAGATATCCTGCATGTTGGATATTTACATTTTAATTCATAACAGTAGCAAAATTACAGTTATGAAGTATAAATGAAATAATTTTATGGTTAGGGGTCACCATAACATGAGGAACTGTATTAAAGAGTCACAGCAATAGGAAGGTTGAGAACCATTATTATAGGGGAAATGATTATTTTTATATAAATGATAACTGACAAATAGACTCTAAGTACTTAGACTGAAAAACAATCATACCACTGGGCATGCTGGTGCACACCTTTAATCCCAGTACTTAGGAGGGAGAGGCTGGTGGATCTCTATGAGTTTGAGGCCAGCTTGATCTACTTAGTGAGTTGCAGGACAGCCAGGACTATGTAGAGAGATCTTGTCTCAAAAAAAAAAAACACCAAAAAACAATCATACCAAACAGACTAAAGGAACATAAGTTATATGTAAAAACATTTTAGTATGTTCACCAAAGTACAAGAGAAAATCTTTCTAGATGAAGGAAATAAAAGGCCCTAAAACAAATCAAATAGTCCATTTTTATCCATAAACAAAAGAATACAGGAAGCCATTTAGAAGTAATATCCAAGTACTGAAGGAAAATGAGCATGTACCTCAAATTTTATACCCAGTCAAACTATCATTCAAGAATGACAACATCAGACATTCTGAATGTAAGGATTAGAGAACTTTGGCACAACTACTCACAGAAAGAGCTTGCACAATGAAGAAGAAATATTAACTTTCTCAGAAGCAAACTGCAAGAGCAAGGAAAGGAAAAACAAAGCTTGTTTCTGTGCATTTCAAGTAATTTTATTTCACCTTTTCCCTCTGGGGATTTACAATCTCAATTCTCTTAACACTTTTACATTTCTCTTACAATAACTGCTAGCCTCTACTTTCCATTTTTGGTCAATAATTTTTTCTACCAATGATCCATGATTAAAGAAGCTGTGGTTTAGATAAGTTCCTATTTCATTAGGCCACTTCTTGGAGAGATTTTCACAGTGATTTAGTAGGCTATCCGGAAGACTAAAGATAAGATCTCCAGAGTAGCCATTTAATGAGAAATACTGCTCTCTCATTTGCCAGAGCCTCTTGCATATTGTACCCTGTAATCCAGTTTAAGCAGAAGCAAATGAACACATTTAAAAAACAACAAGCTCATGTAGGAATTTACTCTGAAAAGTAGCTTTCAGATTGGTCAGTTCCTCATGTCTTGAAGCATGTACTATCATCACCAACATTCAAAGAATAATAAATCTGTGTGTGATATTTTGTCACCTGGGAAAAGAAATGCCTATGTTTGTTGGACTGTATTTACTAAGACAGAAAAGTATACTTTAAAATGTAATATCAGTAAAGCAGTACACAGTAAATTGAAAACCTGCAATTAATTTTGAAGAGTTCTCTGACTCCCTAAAGTCCACCCAGGAACCTTCATCTCAACAATTTTGTTCTACAGCATAATGAATATACCTAGAGAGTAGAAAGGCCTTGACTTCACAGATCTCAAGACTGTCAGATAGCTTTCCCTTGGAATGTCATTAGGCTGGCAGGCATTCTCTGAATTTTTCCATGGTTCTAGGCCTTTGGTGCAGGAACCAGGCCCCAGTTGTTTCAGAATAAAGTATAATTGAGGGGGCATATACCTCAGAAAACTACTCTAACTGCACACTGTGAAAGTAGCCTTCCTAACAACCTTGTGAAAAAGTCTCTAGCTGGCTCTCCCCAGACTTGCTCTTAACAGTGTGTACCTAATAACTGTACAGTGTGGAGGAGGTGACTGTTCAGCAGGCAGGCAGCTTTATACTGCCATAAACCTTACTGGTTCAGTTCCTTTGATTTATGAACAGCTCCTCATCATTTTGAAGCTATGCTTGGATGCAATTCCAGCACTAATTGTATAGGACACGTGCCACAATGATACAACCCCCCTGTTACCCACTGCCCGTGGCAGGAAGAGGCTGTTTATAGCTGTAATTCCTTTTTCCCTTTTCATTCCCTTTCAAATGATTAAAAGCCCAATGAAAATCTGTTACTGGGTACCCAATAACATAATAGAACCCAGAATATGTCCCGTTTGGGCTATAAAGTGTATTTTAGGGGCCAGCTTAAGCTGTCTAAAAGTGTTCTATTGTTATTTCTGACTGGAAGTTTCCCTTCTGGGGGAGTCTAGGAAGATTAGTTGGGTTAGGTGAAGAGGGAAAACAGAGACACACAGCCTGGAGAAACAGAGGCAAACTGTATTACCTGGGCAACGGGGGCAACACAGATGAGGAATATGCACGGGTGAGAGGCAATGAAGATTTGGACATCTGACTCGGCTGCAAAGCACATTCCCATTCTGAAAGATAGAAGGCAGAAAAGGAGAGAGAAAAATGTCTTTCAAAGGTCACTGGGATTCTGCCAGTTTGGGAAACAGTCATGCAGGGACTCACCCAGACAGTGAATAATGCATTCCCAAGAATGTGAATGCAATCATCCTTCTTTTAAAAAAAATTCTTTTTCTCACTCTTAGCACCTCTGCTGGGTTGATTGGAAGCATATCAGCATACTTTTTGTGAGGCTGGGTTCAACACAGTCCCAGTTTTCAGAGCCTCCCATTAAATATGGGAGACTTCCTCTAGCCTGGCTCTGTGATAGTTCTACCCTCCCCAGTTGTAGCTGCAAGGCTTTTCCAAGGGCCTCTTCTGATTTCATAACCACCTGCCTGATGCCATGGAAGAGAAAGGGTGGCGAGTAATAGGTCCCTTGAGAGCTGCTTCCCAGCCCTGTGCGCAGAGACATCCAAGCATGTGAGTCCTTGCACTCTCCAGAACTAACTCTGTGCAGAGACATCCTAGCATGTGAGTCCTTGTACTCTCCAGAACTAACTCTGCGCAGAGACATCCTAGCATGTGAGTCCTTGTACTCTCCAGAACTAACTCTGCGCAGAGACATCCTAGCATGTGAGTCCTTGTACTCTCCAGAACTAACTCTGCCTTGCTTCAGTAGGCTGCGTGACTCCTCTCCTCATTTCCCTTTTCAGCCAGCATTTGTTTCTGAGAATAAGCTAAAAGGAGAAATTGAGCTGAGCGGCTAGTATGTCTGGATGAGGCAACCTGGTCCCTGTATGACTTAGAAGAGATACAGAATCCCAACTCTGACAGCTCTCAGTTATTGCCAGAACAAAGCAAGCTTTGGAAATACATTTTACATTTCCATTTCCCATCCATAATTCATCTGAAGGAAGGGTGACTTGCATCTGTCAGGTTGTTACAGGGTAAAGGGTGGTGAAGTGCACAGAGAAAGTGTGTGAGCTGTTGGCATCGGGATCACGTTAACATTTTCACTGCCTTTTGGACTTCAAAGCCTCGGCCCCCAAGGGCTAGCTGTCCATCTCCAATGTACTGAGTCAAGAATCTGACAAAATAATGCCATACCAGGCAGTTAATCAGCCCCCAGATGCTCTGTTTAATACAAGCCCTAGCCATTTAAAGAGGCAGGCTTCTTTTATCCAGACTGGAGTCACCGTACTACAACTTTCTTTTCCTCATGTGCTTTCTAGAATAAAGTTTTGTAATATTGCCTTTGGAAACAGCAGACAGGCTCTTAATACACCACCACACGCCTCAAAATCAGGAAATAGCATATGGAGGTGAGCTCAGAAGCACATCAGAAAGCACAGTTCCTAGCTGAGAAGAAAACTCAATCTTTAATGTTGTATACTGAATGCTGTTCTAAATTCCAGAGATTAATAAGAGCCCTGATAACCATAATGATAGTTAGCATTTCTTACTCTTAGTTTTAGATGAACTAGTGAATTTAATCCTTACTACAACATATGAATAGGTAATATCATTATGTCTTATTTTTTTGAGACAGGTAGACTCAAACTCATGATCCTCCTGACTCAGCCTCCTGAGTGTTCGGATCCACAGGCATGATCCACAGCTAGGCATTGTTGTCCTGTTTTAAAGGAGAAGCTGAAGGAATCTTAGAGAGGTTATAGGTAAATTATCCAACATACCATGTATCACAGGTGGCTTACTGTAGAGTCTGAAAGTTAGTCTACCTCAAAGTTAAGACCCCACAAACCCTGAATACCACCTGCTATTGTAACACCTGAAGGGTGCTTTATACATGGTAAAAATTTGAAAACCTAGAAGTTCTGTTCAAATGTCAAAAAGAAAAGGCCTGTGAGTGACTGTGCCTGCTCTAGCTGGGCACAGACAGGAGTTACATGCAGCCCTTACAGTAGTTCCTTCTATGCATTCAGATTTCTCAGTTTTCAAAGATTATGATGAGGCTTTCCTTCCCAAATGGCTTAATGCTGTGGTTTTCATCAAGGCAACTAAACATGTCTGGAGACATTATTTGTTGCCACAATTGGGGTTACCTCTGCTGTCATCTAGAGGGTAGATTAATTTTCCTACTATCTGGATTCTTCTGCTTTCTCCTATTATGTCCTATATAATTAGTCTAAAAGTCTAAAGAAATTTATTTACAGTAAATATTCAGAGATTTTAAGAAAAACAAACCAAACTTTAACAGGAAAAAATCAGGAGAGATATTCCTTGCAATCCTGTCCCCATCCCTTTCCCCAGCTCTCTCTAAAGCAGATGTCAAATTTGCTATGTAGCCAAGAATGTTCATTCTACATCCTCCTGCCTGTACCTTGTCTGTGCTGAGATAATAGACATGTGCCATGACACCGGGGGTGTTTCCTAATATCTTTTATGCTTTTAATCACCTAAGCTCCCTGGCAAAATGAGTACTGATAACTTTCCTGTGTGGTAGGGAATGGAGTGGGAAATCCTATGCCGTAAAGCACTGTACCTCTGTGCAGATGCAGTTCACACAGTAAACCAGGCCATACGGTTCCAGGTAGGGATGCCATTTCTCCCCCACTCTATACTTCTTGTCTTGAAACACACAATATGTCTCCGAATCTAAAAGGGAGGAAGGGGGAGAACAAAGCTGTTAGAGAATATAGGCCAAGTCACAAAAATTTAAAGACAATCATGAGTTGCATCCATTTTACTATGTACATCAAGGCGTACATTTACTATGTACGTCACTGCATTTACACAGATTGTGTACTGCTGGCTCAATGTTTTCTGTATTTTGTTTACTGGATCTTTACAATCACTCATAAATTAGATATTACTATTAGTCTTACCTTATGAAAAAGGCAATCAAGAAACATATAACTCGTTAGTAGCTGAGATGACACTCAAACCCAGGTTGATCTGACAGTGGAGTTCAAAAATCTCACTTAATGATCTGCTATAATAGCAAGATAAGAAAACATATCACTGGCATTTTGATTTCTTAAAAGGCCACGCTTCTTTTTCAGAGATGAAATAATGAACACTTTGTTTCCACTCAACATACAGATTTTCTTGAGCATGAACAACCTTCAGTTTTCTCAAATTTCCTTCGCTAGAATCAAATTTTTAATAGGGCTGGCAATAACTTATCAGTTAAGAGCACTGACTAGCCGGGCGGTGGTGGCGCACGCCTTTAATCCCAGCACTCGGGAGGCAGAGCCAGGCGGATCTCTGTGAGTTCGAGGCCAGCCTGGACTACCAAGTGAGTTCCAGGAGAGGCGCAAAGCTACACAGAGAAACCCTGTCTCGAAAAACCAAAAAAAAAAAAAAAAAAAAAAAAAAAAAAAAAAAAAGAGCACTGACTATTCTTCCAGAGAACCTGGATTCAATTCACAGCACCAACATGGCAGCTCAAAACCATCCATAACTCCAGTTCCAAGCAATCTGATGCCTTCTTTGGCACTCTGCAGGCAACAGGTACAGATGTGGTGCATAGACATACATGCAGGCAAAATACCCATACACATAAAAGAATAAATACATTTAAAATTTTTTAAATAAGTGTAAAATAGACACATTTGTTTGTTTGTTTTTATGTGTATGAGTGTTTTACCTACATGAATGTCTGTTCACTACACGCATGCCAGTGCCCATGGAAGGTGGAAGAGAGCACTGAATCTCCTGGGACTGGGGGTAGAGATGTTTGTGAACTGCCATGTAGGGGCTATGAACTGAACCTGGGTCCTCTGCAAAAACAACAAGGTTTTATAACCACCGAGTCATCTTTTTAGACCCTAAAATTTTTTATAGTTGAAATTTGCATTACACTGAAAGATGTTTGAGCACATACCATAATACTTGACATGTTTTACATATCTTAGTTATTAAAAAGTAGATAACATTTATTGTTTATATTCAACCCATCACATGAGTCCATAAACATTGGTCAAGAAATAAAAGCAAGCACCAAAAGATACCACTCTGGGGCATATAACCAAAGGATTCTACATCTCACTACAGAGATATTTGCTCATCCATGACCATTATGTCTCTATTCATAATAGTCATGAATTGGATACACCCTAGATGTCCATTAACTGATAAATACAAAATGAAAATATGGTACATTTGCACAATGTAATGTTATTCAACTCTTAAGAAAAATGAAACTATGAAATTTACAGTTAAATTGATGGAGCTAGAACCAATCATCCTGAATGAGGCAACCCAGACCCAGACAACATTGCATATTTTCTCTTGTATGTGGAAGTTAGATTTTAAGCTTTAGATATATGTATTTTATTTAGAATAACGATGTTATGAGCTGGCTAGCAAGGGACCTTGTTGAAGAAGGGGATCTTCCAAAGAAGGGAAAATAAAATAGTGTTATAAAGGGGATAAATGGGGAATTGAATACATTAGGAGGACTAAATGGAGAGGATGAAGGGAGAGCACATTGAAAGACAGAATATGGGAAGGGACAACTAATACTGGGAGACAATGCTCCAACTAGACATCTTATACTAACAAGTAAATCCTCCAACACCAGGAGTAGGTTATACCTTGGTGATTTCTTAGCCAAAGTGGATCCATAGACCCCTGAAAACATTACAGACTATTGCCAAGGCTACTGGTTACTCACCACAACCTGATAGTAAGGCCTTATTGCTGAAGACACCACACACTTATATAATCCAACATAGAAAAATCAAGCTGATGCCCAACTCTAAGCATCATCCCTATTTACTAGTGTTCATGGTGCTGGAAGGTGTTATGCATGCTATCAGAGGACAAAAATAATCATCAATATTACCCAGTTATGAATCCTACGGCTTACAATACCAATCTACTTGCAAGATATACTGATACGAATTAAATCTAATAAGATGTTAAAAGGAGGGTTGGGGATTTAGCTCAGTGGCAGAATGCTTGCCTAGCAAGCACAAGGCCCTGGGTTTAGTCCTCAGCTCTCAAAAAAAAAGATGTTAAAAGGATAACAATTTATGAGCAAGTGGGGGCTTATGTTGGAAATTGAAAGCTAGTTCCTCATTCATAGTTCATTGATGTAATTCATTGTATTTACACACCAAAGAGGGGACAGATCATTGTTGCAAATGATTTAGAACCTCAATCTGACAAAATGCTACATTCAGCCATGGCTGAAACTCTTAGCAAACTGGGAAGAAAACTTCCTCAACCTCATACCTGACATTTAAAATCAAAACAAAAATCTGTGGCTAACATTATAATTTCTTCATGGCAAAAGACTGAATTATTTTTCCCTAGGACTGAGAATTATATGATGATGCTTGTTTTTCCAATGTTAGCCAGGGAAATCAGGTCCAAAATGTTTTATATACCTCAAAGCAAAACTTAAAGTATTTACAGATGTCATTATTTTGTATAAAAAAACCCCACCAATCTGTTAAAATGATACTATAAATGGTAAGAAAATTTAGCAAGCCTGTAGGATTCAAGACCAACCATATTTACATGTTTTATAATAAATAGAAGTTGAAGTTTGACTGGGTCTGGTGGCTCACACCTGTAAGACTCACACACGAGAGACTAGGCAGAAGGACTGAAGTGAGTTTACTTCCAGCCTGTACTACGAAGTGACACTCTGTCTCAAAAGGAGATGAAAGCGAATGAACTACAATTAGTACATATAATATTTACAATAGCTCCTCCCAAACACCAACCTTCAGAAGCACACATGTAACAAAACATATGCAAGGTTTGCACTAAGAGAACTATATCGCTGGAAGAAAAGTAATGAAGGCCTAAAGGTTAGATAAATTTATAGTATTTGTAGAGTGGAAGATAAAGATTTTCTAAGGCCTCCATTCTCCCCAAAGTAAATAATAGATTTCATGCAGAGGCAGGTGGATTGCTGGCAGTTCAAGGCCAGCCTGGTTTACACAATTAGTTCTACACCAGTCAGGGCTGCATAATAAGACCCTGTCTCAAAAAAAGTATTAGCAGGATACTTTATTTTAGAAAAAGGTGGGAGCCGGGTGGTCGTGGCTCACGCCTTTAATCCCAGCACTCTGGAGAAAGAGGCAGGTGGATCTTTTTGAGTTCAAGACCAGCCTGGTCTACAGAATGAGTTCCAAGACAGTCAGAGCTACACAGAGAAACCCTGTCTCAAAAAATGAAAAACGGTGGGAGTCTATTAATATGTTTATATGGGAAGAGAAAGGAAGTAGAAGAACCAAAATAATTTTGAAGAAGAAAAATGTTAGAGACTTAAAATTACAGTTTTCAGGATATGTGGTATCAACCAAAGGTTATATAAACAAGTTAACAGGATACCTAAACATAGAGCCACACATACATTGTCAACTGATTCAACAAAGGTGCAAAGTCAATTCAATGAAGAAACAACAGTGTTTTCAAAACTTCAACAAATACTGTGGAATCATTTGAATAGTCATGTGCGATATTTAATAAAAGTTAGCCTTTTTCCTATTTCTAATACTTCATATAAAAATGAACTAAAAAAGCAGATATGGTGGGTCATGGCTGTAATCCCAGCAGTTGGAAGGCTCAGACAGGAGGATGCTGAGTTTAAAGCCAGTATAGGCAACATAGCAAGGCCTTGTCTCAAGACAGGTGGGTATGAATGAAGAGGAGCTAGAGGAGGAGGAGGAGGAGGAGGAGGAGGAGGAGGAGGAGGAGGAGGAGGAGGAGGAGGAGATATGATCTCAAGGTAGGTCATAGCAAAGATGTCCAAAACACACCCTAGAGGAAAGACAGCATCTTCAGCAAATGGTGCTGGAAAATCTGGGTGCCCACTATCAGAAGAACAAAATTAGACCCATATCTAGTACCCCACACAAAAATTAACTACCAATGCATCAAAAACCTTAATGTGGAACCTGAAATGCTGTAACTGTTAGAGGAAAATATAGGCACTACCTTACATGATATAGGTGTAGGAAAGGACTTTGCCATTAGGGCTCCACTTGCTCAAGAATTAAGGACAACACTTGACAAGTAGGACCTAACAACAAAGGAAGTAAAGAGAAACCCAAAGAGTGAAAGAAGATCTTAGCCAGATACATATCTGATCAGGGATTAATATTCAGAGTATATAAAGAATTTAAAAATCAAAAAATTATTAGTCTAGAATCATAGTCTATATAACAAAAACCCTAGTACCAGGTATGAGAAACTTCCTTTTGAATTGTTGGTAAGAAGAGTCCAAGAGACGCCCCCCCCCAAACAAAACAGCTACTGTCATTACCTTTGATTCCCTCTCAGAATTTGAAGGTTAAATCCGTATTGGTGAAGGCACCACACAATTCAAACACAGGTCTGGGAGAAACTGAGCTGGAACTGACCTAGAAGCCTCCTCTCTGAGCATTAGCACTCACAGTGTTACAAGCTACCAAGGGAGAAGAGCAGTCTATATATTCCCATCCAGTTGTGATGCTTATTAATCCCAACCATGTTAGCATTTACATATTGGCAATAACCAGCGGCTGTCTAATTGGACTGAAGCCTGCTCAATGGGAAGGAATTAATGTCTGGTACTCTAAACCTAGCCAATTAACCATGACTGGCGAGGCCATGGAACATACTATGACCACTTTCCTAAACCAGCATACACTAAC